CATCATCCTGACACTGTGGATCCTGGCTGGCCTCTCCTCTGATTTTGAACTTGATGTTGTCTATTCCTTTCTGATTGGCCTTCCTGATTACCTGCTCTAGTTACCAAGTCGGCTCCACCGCTAACGCTGGTTTGCTGGCTTGTACTTTTAATAAGGTTTTCGCACCTCCTCATGTGACTCCTGAAGGCTGACCCCCAAGGTCTGCCTCCTCCCCACCCCAGGCTGAAGTTTAAGGCTGAGGTCCGAGCACGGGGTCTCCTCAAGCCCAGCACATCCCCATCTGAGTTCTCTCAAATGCTGTTTAGGGGTGACTAGATGGGGTTTGCCCTAGTGGAACATTTTCAGCCCAGTGATAGGGTAAGAACATTTGGGGTTCTGCTAAATAGGGTGAGTCATCCTGCATGCCAGGTTCTGCCTCAGTGCCCCCAATATTTGCATCGTGAATGGGAGCTGACAGATACAGCAGGCAACAAGATTAGGTCTAAAAATTTCAGATACAAGCTATCAAACAGTAGTATGTTCAAAATAAAGACATAAGGAGAAGAAATAAATAACACAAGAAAATAAAACCGAGACCTATATAGACATAGTATAGTAGATGAAGGAATTTTTAGAAATGAAAATAGATTTTCTAGAAATGAAAAATATAAAAACTGACATTAAAAGTCCAGTGGATGGATGGGCTAAGCAGCAAGAGAAACTAAGAGTGGCATTAACCTACCCTCCACCCCAACCAGGGGTGCAGAGTCCCTGTCTCTCTGCATCTTTGCCAACATTTGAAGGTGCCGCAAAATACACACCGGTAGGCAAATTGCAGGTTGCACTGTTTCTGTATAGAACTGAGCTCTCCCCAGCCAGGATCCTGCCCTCTCCTAGTTTCCTGGGTCAGCCTTTCTCAAAACAGAGGGACTTGGAGCCTCAATAAATCCCTCTCTGCTTGTTTTTGTTTTGTTTTGTTGTGTGGCTTTGTTTTTGGAGTCCGGTCCTTGGGGCCCCTTCCCAGCTGGGCTTTCCCTCCCTGGTTCCCACACCCACAAGCCTCTTACCCAGTGACTTTACAATAGCTTTACCTGCTTCGGGTTTTAACTGTGCTAATCCTCAGATTCTGTTTTGCTCTCTCTGTACCTTTCGGCCCCACCCTTCCCCCTCTTCAGCCCAAAGTTTAACCCAACTCTCACCACCTGTTTCTGGTCAGCCCGTCTCTGACCACACCAAATGTAGCTCCTCGTCTAACATGGGGTAAGCAACCTTAGACATCTGAGACTAGACTCGTGCAGCCTGAAAACCCAGAGGTAATCTAGCATGTGGTTGGAGCGTGGACTCCTGAAGCTGAATCTTACGTAGATCTACTACTTAGCTGTGTGACCTTGGGCAAATCATTTAGCCTCTCTGTGCCTCAGTTTTCCCATACATAGAACGGGAATAATAGTACCTCTGTATAAGGCTGTTGGGAGAGTTGAATGAATTGGTGGGTGGAAGGTGTTTAGAACAGTGTCTGGAGCATAATGAGTGCTGTGTATGTCCCCTGCCATCACTGGTAGTGCTTCATTGGGACGGGCCCAGAGAATAGCAGGGGGCAGTCACATTCACTGAAACGGGAACAGTGTCAGAAAATGCCACCTTATCTACACAACAAGTATTTTCTTCTATTCTTTACCTTCTTCTCCAGGTTCACTAGTCAAGAATTGCGTGGTTCTCCCTCTTCCGAAGCAGACCCCAGTGTCCGGTCCTCCCTGTCAAACCCAACCTTCAACTCTAGTGGCTGCCCGTCCCGCTGCAGTGCCCTCTGCCTTGTTTCCGCAGTGAGCCCCCTGCTCTTCTTTCTGCAAACCACTCTGCTTGTCGCAGCTAACGACCCTGTGCTTCTGGGGTCTGGAAGCAGCGACTAGCTCCCGAGAGTGTTCAGTGGACACTGACAGGCCCGGGGTAAGGGGTGAGGTGGAGATGCCTCCCCTCGCTCCACAGGCAGCTGCCACCTCGAGTCTGAACTTGCTTAGTATCCCACTCTGGCCAGGACACCCGGGCCTGCGGCTTTCCTTCACCTATGCTCATCTGTTCGGTCAAAAACACCAGGAAAGCCATTTTCTCACTTCTCTCTGGGTGACTTCTAAGTAGACTATTCACTTGGGATAGTCATCGATTCTGTGCCTGGCTCTCAATCTGCGTAAAGAGAAAGGCACCGACTCAGAAGTGATAGCGCAGGAGTCTCAGGCGACTGCGGGTATTAGATTGTTGCCTGATTGTGGTTCATGAAGGCTTGGTTTGTGATGTATCCCATAATATGCTTGCAAGAGAGAGGGACTGTTCAGTAGATTGGATTCTTTCACCAAACATCTCCATTTTTTTTTGTGAAGAATTCAAGGAAATACAAGTGTGACACCAATACACTAACTCATCTTGAAGTCTTAGGCACCATCAGCTCAAAAGAATATACATTAATTAATTTCAAAAATGTACATTCAGTCTTTAATTTCAGATAGCCTTTCCTTTGACTAATCTTAAAGTAATAAGCTTGAGGATACAGCCTTTTGCAAGTAGCGTTTTTGTATTTTCAGACCTTGGGAATCCAGGAAGGGCCCAGCACAAGTGCTGGATGAGCCAGGTGACGCCTGTGTTCCACTAAAACGCAGCTGAGATTTAAATGCGGCTTTTTATCTCTGACTTCTGACATGCTGACACTTCCTGTTATCCGTAGCCCATCAGTGCATAGGAATCAGCCTCCCGTCCATTCTAGGATGATTTTAGTATTTATTAACAATTATTGAGCTCCTGATCCACGCTGACTCCTTCCTGGGTTTTGGGAAGTCAAATATGAACTAAAGGGGATTTTCTCTGCAGCCCGGTGGAAGATATGGGCAGAGACACAGTTCAGATTCAAAGTGACGAGCTGAGTGTACGTACATTTAGGTCCATGGGCAAAATGGGGGGTAAAGACAGAGCCCCTGGGAGGGCGAAGCAGAGGGAGGCGTCAAAGCGGAGGTGACCTTCAGTCTGAGCCTTTTAAGGACACATAGAAATTCACTAGAGAGTAAAAAGAGAACATGTCACTCAATAGCAAGAACCACAGAGGCCTGGAGCACACACTCCATTCAGTGTGACTAGAGGGGCTGTGGCTGGGGAGTGGGAGACACATGAAGGAGGGGCCCCTGGCAAGGAGATTGACGTTAGCGTCTAAGGGGCATAAAGGAGGAGCCACTGAAGGTCTTTAAGAGTCACAAGATCACATACGGGTCTCAGAGAGAGAAATTTTATGGACTGGTTCTCTTCACATATTCCTGCTGCATCTCCTGAATTGCAAACACTTCGATTCAGTCATCTTCAGAGAGCTCAAGAACATCCTCAAGCAAGGTCCATATTTTAATCAGGGGCGTGTGTGAGGGGCACATTGGTGGTGGTCATGAGAGTTGCGAGAGGTGGAAAGCGGATGCCAAGCCCCGCTTTTGGGGGCGGGCTCTGAGGACTAGTCCAGTGGTGGTGGCAGGGGGTGTGGTTGGTCCCCCGCAGGAGCGGAGAACCCTGGAGTCCAGGTCAGAAAAGCTGACTAGCAGTGGGAGTCAGACATCTCAACTTCCTCTGCCTCAGTTTCTTCACCCTTTCCCCCAGTGGAGCTGGAGCTGCATAATCTTTAGACTTTCTCCCAGCTCCAAAACTTCATGCATAAACAACATATTGTCCCCCAAACTCATTTGGAATGCTAACCAACTCATTTTGAACGCCAACCTCCATGTCAACAAAACATCTTTCCAGCAGGAATGACCTTTCACCTTTCATTTCCCACCTCAAACGCCCAAAGAGGCCACGCAGAGAGCCACAGGGAAAGAGCAGTTGGTGGACTAGGGGTGGCTGGATGCCAGCTGCTAATCTCCAGGAAGCTGTGACACCTGTTAGGTCATCAGTGCTTGATGCCCCTGTCCTCCCTAAGAACGGAGGCTTGAAGCCCCGGCTGGATAGCTCAGCTGGTTAGAGCATCATCCTGATATGCCAAGGCCATGGGTTCAGTTGCTGGTCAGGGCACGTACAAGAAGCAATTGATGAAGGCATCAATAAGTGGAACAGCAAATTGATGTTTCTGTCTCTCTCTCCAAAATCAATAAATTTTTTAAAAATGTAGCTTGAGAACTTTCCCTTTGCTTAAAGTACGGCCCTACACTAGAAAGTAGCCATTGAAGAAGCCATGGGCAGCAAGTTTATCTATCCAAAGGCAAGTCGACAAAACCACTGTAAGAGGTGTTTGAGGGTGACAGGCTTGTTGTAACAACTGTCAAGGATATAAACCAATAGCTGCTTTTAGATGGAAAGAATGAGATTTGATATTTGATCTTTTCCAACACCTCTGATGCGCTATATAATCACATTACTTTTTAAAACAAAGCTTCATCAGTAACAGTCAGTGCAAAGGAAATACCTCTCAGAGTAACAAGATGAAAGAGAAACAGATTTTTTAAAAAAACCTTTCTTAAAAAGTTATAGTGGATGCCTGGGAACTCCTCAGATAATTTCCGGTTTACATATTTATAAACTTACAGCTTCTTGTTTTTAGTACACTTTCCAGTAGTAAATTTCCATACTTGTTTTCCCAGGAGTTTTGAGACCAGTAGCCTTTTCAGCCCACGTTATTCAAACCACATTTGTTATTATTTTGCTGTTTCAGCTGAATGAAATGTTCTTTTACACGAACAGCCAAAGACTTTATGGTTTTCTTAATATGCCCATTAAAGCTGGTAAATTACAGGGACCCACATATCTTAGAAGACAAAGATTGCAGACAGATTACATTAAATGAGTGAGCTAGAGCGTGATTCGATAGCTGCAGGGAAAGCCAAGTTCGCCCGCCCACCCCGGCACCTTAAAAAGACAGTTCTAATTTTCTCCACTTCTTTCACAAAAAAAGGATTACATTTTCTGGGTGTTAGCTTCCCTGGCAGAGTTCTGTAGGCTCTGTAGCCTCGGGCACCAAACAAGGCTTCTTTCTCCTCCACCCTGGCGTGGAGGTAGCTTACCCTGAGCCCGGCCATAGGGAAGGAGCGCGATTATCAGGGCAAAGATGAGGGCAGCGCGGGGGGCCTTCCTGTCCCCTCTCCTGGGCAATCCCTCCGGCATGATGCTGTGCTGGCTTCAGCCTCCCTGAAACGTGAACATTTCCTGTTTCCTGCTTGTTTGGGTAGGTGCGAACTTGAAGGAGAAGTGTTTGCCTGCTTTTTAGGAAGTGATGTAATTCTGCAGGAGCCTGTCAGACCAGCGAGGATTGCAAAAGAGAAGTTGCTCTTCAGTCACTGGTGCAGTCAGCACACTTCTCCAGCCCTCTGCAGTCCCGGCCCGGCCACGGGCCTCTGTCCTTTGGGATTGTCCCTGTGGAAATGGCTAGAGTCTTTCGGAATCTGGAAGGCAGGTTCTCAACCACGTGCATTCTTGATTGGTGGTTTTACTCAACTCCAAGGGAGTCCCTGTGGCTACCTCGAGTGCAGGGTAGCGCTAGTCAGCTGCAGAACTTTCTGAGATGACGCAAATGTTCCGAATCTGGGCTGTCCCATACGGCAGCCAGTAGCCACATAGGCTACGGAGCCTCACCTGCATGGAGGCTAGTGTGCAGTGAATAGTTAGTTTTCAGTTTACTAATTTAAATGTAACCAACTCCATGGGGCTGCTCCTGCCGCGTGGGACTGTGCAGACCCAGACAACAGGGGCATCTGTACCCCCAGGACAAGGCCAGGCCTCTTCCCTCCGCCGGGTCCATCCCCCCTCCTGGGCCCTGAATGAATGAACGCCCCTCCCTCGGGGCGCACAGAGAGCGGAAGGGCCTTGCCACACCCGGCCTGAATGAGGTGCTCTGCCCCAGAGAGAAATGATCTTTTCACGTTTTTTTTATTTTGTTTTTTGCTTTTTTCCTTATAAATACTTGAGTTTTTAAAGTCTTTAGTTTTAGAGTCACGGCAAAATTAGGAAGGCACCAAGATTTCACATACGTCCCCTGCCCCGCACGTGCGTGGCCCGCCCTTCGGTGGACACCCCCGGGGAGCGACACGCGTGCTACCGCCGGGTCAGAACCACCCAAAGCCGCCCTCGGTGGCAGACGTTCTATGGGTTTGGGCACAAGTGTCATGATGACATGTATTCTCCTTGTCGTATCACACAGAGTGGATCTGCTGTCCTAAAACCCCTCAGCGCTCCACCTGGTATCCCTTCCCCATGCCCCCAGCCAGCCCCTGACAACCCCCGATTTTTTACCACCTCCATAGTTTTGCCTTTTCCAGAACGTCGCATGTCGGAATCATTCGGTATGTGACCTTTGCAGTTGGGCTGCTTTCAATCAGCAACGTGAATTCAAGGTTCTTCCAAGTCTTTTTGTGGCGTGACAGCTCATATCTTTTAGCTTTGGATGATATTCTGGATGCACCACAGTCATCCATTCACCTACTGAAAAACACTGTGGTTGCTTCCAAATTTTGGTAATTATAAATAAAGCTGCTGTAAACAACCCTGTGCAGGTATCGGGGTGGACAGAAGTTTTCAACTCCTTTGGGAAGATTCCAAGGGGCCCTGTTCGTGGGACGATATGGTAGGAGAGAAATGACCTTTTAAAGGGCCTATTTCCAAAGCAGAGTCTGCTCTCAGAGGGAGTGGGGGTGGCGGGGGGAGCTCTATTTCATCTTTCTCCCTCCTTTCATGACAATAAACTTCTCAGAGGTTGTTAACAACACAAAAAACAGGGCTGGGTTGGATTGGAATGAGGGGGAAATTCTACCCAATGGAAACAATGCATGAAGGAGCGGCCGTGCGCAGGGGAGATTAGAGAGTTAGGTTTTGTGTGCAACTGAAGTTCCTCCTTTGGTTTAGGATTGGAGCCTAAGCCCCGGAGAACGCAGTTTCATAACCACAGTTGTCGTGGTGCTGAGGGAAATAGGCAGAGAGAGAGAGAGGGAGAGAAGCAATACACACTCTCTCTCTCTACCCCCTTTCCTGCGGGTTGCCATGAGTCACCGCCACTTTCCGGTAGGTTTCATCTTCAGTGATCTGCTTGGTATAAACACTCAAGCTGACTGGAGTTTCTCTGCCCCTGATGTGGCCATTAATTTTTTGCTCAGCATGTTGCTGCCTTTCAATGTCATTAGTCACTGCTTGTCTCAGTTCTTATGCACAAGAAATACGTGGGTGATTCATGTAATGATCAGTTTGTTAATGGATTTACAGTATGGATTTTAACATTTTCAACTGGCAATTAAGTCAACTCCTGATTTAATATGATCTGCCCTTTGGGTGACAGTACAGAACAAATGGTGGGAGAAAATAGACATGTTCAAAACTGGATGATTGATTGGAAAACAACAGGGAAAGAACTATTTATCAAACTCTTGCTGAGCAAGTGAACAGACCACGGGCTCTGAGACCCTCTGGTGCTGAGTTTGGCTGGCAGCCGCTCCTGCCCTAGCACGATTGCTCCAGCTGCTGCCTGTGCACAGGAGAAAGGGCCCAGGGCTTGGGAGTTCTCTTCATTTTGCCACTTACACCCTGTTAAAGGCACTGGCGCCTCCCAGGCCTGCAGCGCATGTGTGGCGAGGGCAAGATGTGAGCTTTGATTTCTTCGATTTTAAAACCACAGCTGGATGGAGGCTTTGCAGAGTTGGGTGCATGTGGCCAAACCAGACGGTCTTACTCTGCAGTCCTCAGTGTGGGCCCTTGGCAGGGCCAGCTAGTTCCTACAAGAGCCCTGCGCTCACTTCCGAGCGAGCACAACAATGCATCAGTTAGAACGATGTGCAAAATAAACCAAGGCCACGGAGACATGTGCACAGCTATGTAATTTTGTTCTGACCCCTGTGCTCTCTTAGACCCTTAGCATGATTAAGTTGATCGTAGGGGGAAGAAAATTACCATCATTGATCAGAAAATTGCAGCACCTTAGCGATCTCTTTACTGCAGTTGAAATCACAGGGACACCGTGTGGTCAGTAATGGACTATTTACCTCTGTTTGCTCTAAATTTACCAACCATTAATTTTGGCAAGTGGCTGCCCAGCCTCAGAAGAAATAAATCCTGATACACTCACAGCAGGAAGGCAGGGCCCAGTCTCAACCGGGAGGCACTGGGTGCCTCTGGAGGGAGGGGCAGACACACAGACGGGGTAATGATGCATTGACATCGTATTAACATCGATACCTGCCATTGGCCTTCAGCAATGAAAGGAGGAAGCAAAGTAGTGCAGTATAGTGCCTAGCAAATGCCCAGAGATCTCCTCACACTCAGGTGGGTGGGAAGAGAAATCTCTTGCTGGTTCTGGGGTCTCGGTATTACTTTACCCCAACAAATCTGGTTTTCACAATCACCTCTCTGTACTACAGAAGAGACTCTCACCCAGTTCCTTCTCCCTTCCCTCCTGTCTCCTCTCCCGACCCCTCCCATCAGCTCCAAAAGAGAAGAGACACCAAGGGCACAAACCCAGAAGTGGTAAGATCTCATGGTCAGTGCAGGCTCCCCCTAGGTTTTCTCTTATCCTCAACATCGCCATCCCTTCCCCCTCCACACACACAGGCATGCACGCATTCACACACACTCACGCATGCACACAGAGCACCCTCTCACACGCTCCATGAAGACCAGCCAATGAGAACAAATGAAGGCTGCTTATTCCGGGCTTGCTACAGCAAGGGAGGCGGCCACCATCACTCATGTTCTGGCTGAGACACACAGACAGGCAGAGGAGCGGGAACACTTTGTAGTGGAAAAGAGAAGACTGCAGGTTCGCCCTCATGGGATACTGTTAATGTGGGGACCTAGAAGTGCGTTCTAGTTTTTGGTTTGGGGCACATGTGTACTTCTCCTGAACTGAAAGCAGGAGGAAAAAATCAGGGCCGACTGCCACAGGGATTGTGGTTTGGCTTCCGGGACTAGTTACTAGAGATGGAGTCTGACTTCCGACAGGTCTGATTTGTAACAGGCTGGCTTCCTGAGCTGCGTGCTGCAGGTTGTGGGTCAGAGCCCTGTTTTGTATGGTCTGGCCATTGTCCGAGGTATTCAGTCTCTCCACACATACCCCCGTGCATGCTCACACACAAACCTCATACCCACACGGACATCCCTGCATACACCTTCTGGGGCTTCTTGTTCTGTCTAATATTAACTGGTGGTCACTGATGGCTCTGCATATTTGCGTCACAAGGTAGCCAGGACTCAGACACCAAGAGGTGTCTTGTGTGTGGGCCTGCAGCTCACTCCAAAGCCCATTAGGAGGGGCAGGGAGCAGGCTGAGGTTCCAGGTTCTGAAGGAGTGCTCAGGGAGGTAAGTGGGCCAGGCAGGGGCTGGGGCACAGGGCTTAAACGGAACCCCAGAGTAAGCAGGAAAGCCACAGCCAGGAGAGGGGCTGACAGCTGTGCTACTTGTCTTGTCAGCTCTGGCTGCCACAGCAGACGTTTATCTTCTCATAGATCTGGAAGGATGGAAGTCAGAGGTGGGGGTCCCCCTGGGCACGGTCAGGTTTCAGTGAGAGCCCTCTTCCTGGTTGGTCCCCTTCTCGCTGTGCCCTCAGGTGGCAGAGAGAGAGAGCTTTCTGCTGTCTCTCCTTACAAGGTACTAATGTCATCATGAGGGCCTCACCCTCGTGACCCCACCTAGTCCAATTACTTCCCACTGGCCCCATCTCCACATGTCATCGTCTTGGGGGTTGAGACTTCAACATCTGAATTTGGGGCAGGGACGCAATTCGGTCCATAGCACACTGCCCTTGAAGCTGGGAGCCTACGCGTCCAAGTGCACCACGGTCAGCCCCTCTGCACGTGTCAGAACCCCCAATGGTTTCTGCCCTCACATTTCGGCTGCTGACCCTGGTCACCTGCTGTTCAGCTGCTCACTCAGAGTGGCTGCTGCGGGGGTTGGAGAATCCTAGGGGCTTCCACCCAGGCCTCGGCCTGGGCTTTTTCTGTGACAGAGCCCCCAGGGCTTAGGCAAATAGCCTGGTGACCAAAACTGAAACCAGGGGGGACTGTGGTTAGGAGCCACAGAGGCCTAGGCCTGTGGGACAGGTGCAGAGGTGTGAGGGGCCCAAGGGCAGCACCTGGGGAGCAGAGGCAGAAGCTCAGATTCCGTGGTTTTCCCAGAACTGAGTAGAGGCCCCTGAGCACTGAGGGCTTCTCTGTCTTGTTCTCCCATCTCTCCCCAACATTGAGGACAGTGCTTAATTTTTTTTAATGAATAACTGAATTTAAACATTTCCTTTACAGCA